AATTTGCGTCATTGTAATTAATGAAGTAAATACAAGCATTAATTCTTTAGAATTTACGTCAACACTCTCAATTAATATGTGAGTATTTACTAATATACTAGCAATTAATATCACTGGAAAAGTTTTTAGAAACTGCTAAATAATTTGTCAAAATTTTCAAATTAAATATTATTAATTAGTGATGAGTAGAAGAAATATGATTAATTACTTATTAATAATACTTAATTTAAACCATCAAATTTCAAAAAATTCCGTATCTTTTTATTGTTTATTAGAGATAGAAATTTGGAAATTCTAGCAAAAGTATTTAGCAATTTGAAAAATTTAACCGTACCAATTAAAAGCGAAGAGAAAAATAATGATATAAACTATACAATAGATAACAATTAAATGAGATAAATTCAACCAAAAATAAAAATAAATTAATGATTGGAAGAAATCACGTTAAATCACTAATTTCATACTTGGTGTATTGATGAAAATGTAAGATTATTGGATCTTTACAATTAAAAATCAAATTTTATGCAGTATAAAATGCAAAACTATAAATTAGAAATGGTAGAAGTGTTACAGCTTTATGACTTCCTTATGATAAATGATAATTTTTCCTAACAGTAAACAAAACTTGGTTGTTTGATATAAAATATATAAACACTTAAAAATACTATCATAATAAAATGTCTACAGCATAAATTTTCTGCGTTAATCATAATTGTGATTAATTGATCCAAAATATTCAATTTGATGTGGCAAAAAATATTTTAAATTATTAAATTTTAAATTTTTTAAAATTTAAAATTACTTCGAAAAGGATTGAAAAGAACAAAACAAATAGAAGATTATCTAAAATATATCCTGAAATTTTAGGAGAACATTATAAAAATTAACTTTTCATGAATTGAAATGTAGTTATAATTTATTAGCTCAACATAAATCTTGATACAAATAGTGTTTTATAAATGTCAAAAATTTTGCATAAAAAGCAAAATTAGCTTAAATCAGTCTGAATTTGATTAATAAATTATTAATAAATTCGATTAATAATTTAATAAAAAATTTACTTTCATGTTTTTCTTCTTTCAGAAAAGCAAACATAAAAAATAAAGATTTAAAAAAAATGAAGACAGAAAACTTAAAAACCTATTAAGTAACAAAATGAATTAAATGAAAGTAAATTAGCTTAAATAGGAAACTGAATCAAACAGATTAAGAAAGTGAAAAAAAAATTAAAAGAAAGAAAATTAAGAAAATTAAAAGAAATCACAAATACATCATTAATTTTTGATCTAAAAATGCATTAAATTTCAATATTTATTTATTACCAAAATTTCAATACTTTTTAGAATTAAATTTCAGTACTTAAGCATGTATAATTATCATATCAGTATGAGAATTAACGGAATAAATTTATTATTAAATGATAATATATAATCAGTCAGTACTAATATTTGTGATATGTGGTATATAATAAATAAATAATTGATAAATGATATAATTTGTAATAGTATTATTTAACTTTTGATTTAAAATTACAATAATACATTTTTTTTTTTTAAAAGAATGAATAAGAAGAGAGCAAATAAAACAATTCATTCATTTAACAATAATTAGTTCTTTTATTTGTTTTAATGGTAGCATATCGATCAGATCATTGAAAGCAATTAGCTTCGAGAAATGGCTTTCTCGAGAAAAAAATAAAGAAAAAACTTCCGACACTCATTTATTCATTTTCTTCTTCCTTATTGCTTTTCCGCTTAATTTACTTGCCCCGTTTGCTCTTCTTCCATTCTTTTCAACTCCCCTCTCTCTCCTCTTCCTCTCTCTCCTCTTCCTCCCTCTCCTCTTCCTCTCTCTCCTCTCTCTCCCTAACCCGCGGTCTCTTTCTCTTCTTTGCTAACTCTTTTCTGCTTACTTTTTATAGGAAATAATGAAAAGATTGAATGAATATTTTATGTATTTTACTTCAATAAAATTCTTTTTATTTTGATTTTTCATCTTTTTATTATTTTTTCATAAAGTTAATCATGAATATGTGATTCCTCTCAATATGTAATTTAAATTACATATTGAACAGACTGACACACACACAGATGTACACACATACACACACACACACACACATACACACACACATATATATATATATAACAAAAATAACAATTTAAAACAAATTAGTTGCTGTGGTATAGATTTCAATATTTATTTGAAGGATTTTATTCGTAAATACTTGAAGAGAATTGAAATAATAATTAAGGAATAAAAAATGGTTGATAATATGTTTGAATGAGCGATTAAATTACTCTCATTTATTTGTGAATGAATGAAATTGAAAGGAGTGAATTAAATTAGAATTCATCAATTAAATTTAGTGGCATTCTTTTTCTTCTCTTTTATTGTTAAAGAAATGTGTAGAAATGATTGAAAATTTATAGATATACATTAACAGATGTAAATAATAGCTAACTTTGATAATACTATATGATGTAAAAAAGAAAAATATTTATTATAAGCGTAAATTTAATTTCTCAATTATAATATATTAAGTAAAAACTTCTATTCTTTCAAAATCAACTGCAAAGAATGCAATTAAATTCATTTCAATTGTTTAATAAAATTTATTATTTAATAAATGTAAATATTTAGTAAATAGCAAATATTTAATAAATGTTATCGAATAATGTTCTTGTAAATTGTTTTAAAAGAAAGAAAAATTCGATTGAAATATCAAACTTCAATTCTGATTAACAAATTAAGAAATATTCTAATTAGCGCATTAATTAAATTGGGGAACAATTAGTAATGCTTGAATTGTCTGAAATTTCGAAATTGGATGAAATAAGAAACCAAATGAAGTGAAAATTTTTTCAACTTTAAATGAAATGACAACATTTCACCAAATGTAAACAATTATTATTCATCGATGATTCAATCTTTAAATACTAGCTAATTCTATTAAAAAATAAAAAAAAAATAAATAAAATTGATAAGTGCTAAGTATTCAATTGATTAAGCTATTCAATCAACAATAATAGTTTTGCATTTTCAATTAACAAATGTCATCCAAGTTGTCAACTTGTCACTTTATTTGCCAATAATTTCAATGCTAGAATAAAGCTTTTCACAACAGTAATTAAATTATTTCATGTTTGTAATATAATAAATTTCTTTCTTCTATATATTCTGATTATTCCAACTCAATTATTTAGAAACAAAGGTATCTTCAATGAGAATAGAACTTACTATTAATTTATCCTAGGTGTAAAGATGTATGTATGCATATGTCTGTACTTTGTGTGTGTGTGTCTGTTCTGGGTATCGATTTATTATCACTATAACAATTAGAAATTATGATTAACTTAATACAATCACATAAGTGCTTACATATTGTGATTTAAAATTCAAAGTTCGTTTCATTAAAATAAACATTTTTAAAATTAAAATAAACACAAAAAATAAACATTTTTATAATTTCGAAATTTTGAGTGTAAACAGTCTTAAAATTTTGTTATTTTTTTTCATTATTGTAAATAATTTTAGGACTTCGAAATCTTAGTGTAAGTCATAATTTCAAAATGAGCAATAAATAAATTAAGTGAAAATTTCTTGATGAGACAAAAATAAAAGAAAAAAGAGGAAGAAGAGACAAATCGATAGATCTAATTGCGTCATATTTCTCTTACATTCACTCTCTAATTTTTTTAAATTCTAGATATCTTATCAAGTCATTAAACACTTTTCTTTTATTATTTAACTTTTCATTTTCATTTATTTTTTTCTATTCTTTTTTTTTTTAAAAAAAAAAGAAAAATTCGCAAAGATTTTGAAAAATAATTTATAAAATACTAGAAATGACAGAAACAAATGGCTTAAATGGGAATAAAAAAATACTTGGTATGTTATGATATGATATGATATAATTAATATGATATGATATGATGTGACATGTTATGACAATATATGATATGATATGATGCGATGTGATGTGATATGATATGGTGTGATGTGGCATTATATGATATTCTATAAACAAAATTGATACAATTTGAATTAAAAAAATAAGTTAAGAAATGGATGAAATTTTTTCCCCTACAAAAGCCAATGATATCAAAAAAAGAAAATTTTTTGATTTTTAGCGATTGTTTCTTTTTCTTTTTGGATTTTAATTTGAGAAAAATGGTGCATAAATTTGATAAGATAAAATAATCAGTGATAAGCTAAAATAAAAGAATAAAATATGCTGAAAAGAAAAGCATAAATGTACACATATTTGTTTGGATTTTGCATTAAAAAGCAAAAAAAAAAAAAAAAAAAATGGAAATTTTCATGAATGGTATCAAAATTTCTGAAAGAACAGCAAAAAATCAGTAATTTTTATATTTTTACTACTAAAAATTTGACAATTTTGTTTAAAGAAAAACGAAAGAGAAGAAAATCAGCTTTGGACGGTTGTTTAATTGACTAATCTTTTATCAAAAAATCTTTAAAACTTGTTAAATATCTAAAACTATTTTAAGCTCAATTATACGGTTAAAGGTTAAAAATTTTGTTAACTAATTTAACTGGTTTTTGAAGGAGACCAATCTTCAAAGAAAATAAATTATTTTAATTATTCAAAAAAAAAAAAAAAAAAATGAAAAAAAACGATAAACTTTGAACAATTTTTTCAGTTCATTTCCTAAATAGTTTTTTGAAGTTTTCTGAATTTGATTAGCTGTTTTGTGACAAATTTTATAATTTTTGGTGCTAATTGGAAAAAATTTTCTAATATGCAAGAATTGAACTAAAAAAATATTTATAAAAAAGATTCTTATGCTAACATTATTTTATTATCATTTATCTATTTTGCAGTAAGTAATTTTAAAAAGTAACTGCGACAAAAAGTTAATCCAATTTTTTTTTTTTTGGTCTTTAATTAGCATATAGTCTTTAATTAATACAATTTTTAATATAACTTAGCAAATTACTAGTCTTTAGTATTCAATGATTAAAAAAATACTTACATAGCAATATGTGGCGTAGAGTTGTGGCTTCGTCCTTGATTCAACGGTAATTTACGATTGCTTGAATGTATCATTGGCAAATTGTCATCGTATGATTGCGTTCCTCGATTCTAAATTATTTCAAAAATTGATCCCTTCATTAATTTTAATTTTTAAAATAAAAATTAGTCTTTAATTTTTAGTCTTTGAATTTAATGACTAAAAAATTAGGCTTAAAAAATTTTTATATAAATCAAAGACTATATGCCAATTATAAAAAAAAAAAAAAAAAAAAAAAAAAAAAACGAAAAAGTTCAAATGATTTTTACATAAAATAAAAAATTTTTATATAAATTAAAAACTATATGCTAATTATAAAAAAAAAAAAAGACGAAAAAGTTCAAGTGATTAAAAAAAATAGAAATGTAATTTTTTTCTTTCATTTTTTTCAAATAATTAATTTTTTTGGGTAAGTACTTTATCAATTAAAAAATGTAATGATATTTTTTTTTTTGCTGTGATAAGTTTTTTTATTTACTTATCAATGTTTATTATGTATTTCATGAAAAAAAAAAAGAAAAACACAAAAATTTTTCAGCTACTAACAATTTTAAAGTCTTTTTTTCGTCTCATTCAACTTCATAATCAATCATTCAAATAATTTACATATTTTGAATTATATTTTATGTTTTTTTGTTCTCTCTTCTTTTCGTTTTTTCTTTTTTTTTTGCTATTATTTTTAACTGAATGCGCATTTTGAAGGAAGCATATCAATCATTCTAAATGTAAGTTGAATTTTAATATTTCTAAAGGAAATGAGGAACTTTTGAAAAGTTCTCAAAACGACTTTTCCGTTTGTCACAATGAAAGTTCATTTGCTTAACAATTCTTTTTTTTAAAAAAAAAAAAAAGAAAAAAGAAGAAAAAATGACATGAAATAGGGTTCATTGATTTTTCTTTTTTTTTGTAAAAAAATTTTATGCAATGGAAACTATTCAAGCATAAATTACATAAAATTCCTATTAAAATGATAAGATTTATAAACTCCGAAACATTTATTTTACTTTTTTTTCCCATTAGATTGGATAAAAATTTGAATTTTTAATGCGAAACTTAACGAATGTATTATAATTAATTGTGTAATTAGTAAAATTCAAGAATTTCCGACTTCCAACAAATTCATTTATTATTTGTTTAAAGAAAAAGAATGTAACACTAATAATAACAATGGAATGCAACACATAAAATTTTAAATTGTAAAATAAATGTGACAAGTCGTTGACATATTTTAAAAAACATTACCAATTCAATATTTTGAAAAGCGAATAGACATCCGGAATTTACCGAATTATTATTCGTCAGTATTATTTTTGGTGATGAATTTGCTGTTGCTGGAGCAGTTTGTGATAAGGATAATATGTGATTAGATGAAATTGGTGTAGGAGGTAAACGACGTCCGGTATGCATAACTGGTTTTCCATAAGTATGTTCATACGATTGAAACTGATTCGATTTTTTCATTACCTAAACAATTTTTATTAATTAATTCATTGTAATTACTAATTAATATTATCATCAGCGATATAACTGTATACATATATACTACACAACTCATTATTAAATAATATTTATTTGAAATTTTATACAAGTTAATTTGAATAATTTTTACAAAAAATTTATTAATTTAGAAAAAGAAATATGGAAGAGAAAAATTAATAAATTGAAAAATGAATAAACTAAGCATCAATTTCTAAAAGATTGTAAAAAATTATTGATTAATTGTAAAAATCATTCATAAAAAAATTAGTAATTAAGTATTGTTTTTAAAAATTTTTATAAATAAAATGTGATATGTAAACATTGAATTAAAATTTTTAGCTTTTTTAGCTTTTTCAAAATATCACTCTTAAATTAAGAAAGTATTTTATGTAAAGGAAATTTTCATTTGTCTCATCAAAGTTTCAAGTAAAAATTTTATATTAAAGATATGTAAAAAAAATACTTTAAAAATTAGGATTTTGTGGGAAAGGTATTTACACCAATGAATAACTAAATCAAAAATTGTGCTAAATTTTATTACAATAATCTTTTTCTTTTCTTTTTTTTTAAAGTATTGAAAAAATAAATGTACTGGATATAAATAAGATATATTTTGTTGTACTACTGATATGTTAATGATAAAAAAAAAAAAAAACTTTTGAAAATTAAATGAAGCATGCATATCTCTGCTATTTACTAATATATTAAAATACTTAAATTTGAGAAAATAAATTCTCTGAACGTAAATAAGATACATTTGTTTACTTTAATAGTACTTTAGAATATTTTAATTTTAATGATATAAAGTTTCATTTCCTTATAACATTCCACATACACATACACACACAGACATTTATGAAATATGAAACCACTGATAAAATAAGCAAAATATGTTACTAAAAATATTCGAAATCGTATTTGTAATTGAAAATTGTAACCTTGATAGATGATACTTCTGCTGTTTTTTCCTACAAACATTAGCTCAAATTGCAATTATTTTGGATTTTTTTAAACGATCAAAAATTATAGTTTTATATATATTTAAGAAAATCTTTAATTTATGCTTGAAAAAATGTTTTATAAATGCGACAGAGGAATGGCAGTAATAATAATAACTTAAAAATTATAAAATTAAAAAGGAAAAAAATTTTTGATTAAAAAAATTTTTATGTACGTCTAAATAGAATATAACAACATAACAAGATAGATTTTTTTTCCAAAGCATTATCCATCGCAATGCTAATACCGCAGAAAATAACTGTTGAAATTTTGAAAAAATAAAATTGCAATTCAAAACGGATAAACGAACAATTCCGGTAGGCTAAGAAAAATTGAGAAAATGAAATGTAAACTTGAATGATAGCTGCAATAATAACAACAATTGCTGTATTTTTTGATGAGTGTCTTAAAATTTAATTTTTTTTTTTTAAAATCATTTTAATTGAAACAATTTATTTCTCATCCAACAAACACAAAAATTTTAGCATAAAAAAAGAATAAATCAAAAGCGCCTAAGATTTATTTCACTTAATGATATTAAACTGAAAAATTATTTGACGCTGAAACTTCTCTGACTAATTTCTTTTCTTTTTCTATTTATCCAATGGCAAATCTATTATTAGTTCAATTGTTTTCACAATAACTATTATTTCGAACAATATATTTATTTTCTTTTCCATATTTTCCATAGACAAAAATATTTATTTATTCTTTTCCATATTTAGTAGTAAAAAAGTTTGGGACCATTTTTCAAATTTAATAAGTTAATAAAAAGGAATTAAAAAAGATATATTAATTAAATAAATGAATAAGTAAATAAAATTAACTGACCTTTTTTTTATTTTGCAATCGTCTATGAAATATGTTCATTAAATATGATTTTCAAAATTTTAAATAATTAAAGTTTTCCAAGTGTAGCCAAAAAAAAGAAACTTTAAGGAAGGTAAATTCCTTAAAATGTGGGAAGAAAATTTATGATTCGATTATGAGAAGATTGTCGGAAGAAATTATGAAAATTACGGAAAAGCCAAATTTTTTTTATTTAGTTGAAAAAATTCAATCATTCATCAAATGCTTTAAATTCATCATTTTTACATTCTGTTTCAAATGGCATTCTTTAGTGACATTTATGAAAATTAAAATTTTCATAAATAAAATTTTACGAATGTAAATGAAAAGAATTTATTAAACAGTAAATTATATTACACAAATAGAATTACAAGTGAGAAAAATTAATTTTCATTAAAATTTTTATGCTTTCATTTTCTTGTATCATTTCATTAATAATAAATTTCACTTTTTTCCTTTAAAAATTTTCTCGTAAGTTTTATTTTTAATTAATTTTTAAATTTTATTAAGAGTTAAATGACTGAAAAAATGAAAGAATATCTATTTTGCAGTATAATTAATTACGAAAATTAATATTAGTGATAGTGATTAGAGACAAAATACATATAATTAGTTAGTATCATATCACACCATTAATTAAGCTAATTAAACACCAAAAGAAAAAATGACAAAAAATAGTAGATTTTTATTGTAACAAGTAACAATTAGGAATTGCCAGGTAAATAAAAAGGGGAAAAGATTAAGATAAGCAATGATAAGAAGAATTATGACAAAAAAATTATTAAACTTCAGATAAATTATTATGATTTTATGTTACAAATTTTGCTGAACCATAAATGTCTCTTTGAATTATTTTATATGAAATTTTTTCTTTCAGTCAATTCTTATAATCAATTAAATAAGCAAACAAAATTTACATTTAATTTGAAATGATACATTTTACTAGCTAATGCACAATAACATTTCCTTAATTCATATAACACTTCAAGAAAACATATTCAAATATTTCAAAAATTTATATATCATTCAACTAATCATTTAAACATCATATTGGGTTAATACTTAATTGAAATTTGAAATGAAATGTGAATTGAAGGAAAATTAAATGAAAAAAAAATGTTGAAAAGCAGGTTAGAAGTATAATTTGTAAAATGTAAATGATGATTAAAGCGTAAAATTTACGAAGGAAAAATATCGCTAATGATTTACCATTGCAAATTACTAATCTAAAATTTTGCGAACATTTAAATTATTTCAATTATCATTGATAATCCCATACCCTTTTAAGCATTTTCAAGATGCTTGCTTATTTTTCTTGTAATACTTAGCACAAAAAACAAAATAAAACCAATTTGAACTCTTAAAAAACTTTTGGAAAAATGTTTGGAAAAAAAAATATAATTTTAAAAAGTGGTTAACATTATATTTTTTATTTGTTATCACTTTTTTAATACTTTTACTGATATAAAGTTTAATTATTTAAAAAAAAAACAAAAAAAAGTTTAATTTTTTATTTTAAATAAGTCGTAAAAAGGACGAAAATATCGCTGACATTAAATTTTATTCCAAAATTTTTGAATAATAAATAATTGGATTCATATGCATGTTTTTTTTTTTTCAAATTTTTGAATATATATGTATTTATTTTTGATTATTTGTTCCAAAATTTTATTCAAAAACGAAATTCAAAGTTCCAATTAAATTTATGAAAAAATTTTGTATAGCAATGAAATAAATATTGGACTTAAAACTTGGATAATTTCCATTCTTTTTTTTTCTCTCTTTTTTTGAAGCATACAATTATGAAAAAGCTAATAATTGGTGCCAAATTTCAAGTATTAGATTAAAAATGAAGAATGTGAAGGTAAAATGAGATGGAATAGAATGAAAAATGAAATGAATGTATGGATGGAAGAAATTGAAATGTGTTTGAGAAGCTTTTGTCATTTTGCTGTCACACTTTGATAGATAAAAGCTTTAAACATCTTAAAGATGAATGGGCACATTTATATTATATCAGAAGTAATAGCAAAAATAATAGACTTTTTAAGTTTCTTTCATAAAAGGAAAAAAGTGAAAAAGAAATAAAACATACTGCAATTAAGATAAGAATTAATCTAAAAGCTTATCACTATCACTAGCTATTTTAATCAATCATAAGTTTCCAGTCTCAGTTTAAAAATAAAATCATTAGGTAAAAAAAGAAATAAAAAACAAACAATCTTTTAATATATACAAAATAAGTAATAGTTCATAACAAAATTACACTTTAAAAATGCAATATATCAAATATTTCTAAAAAAGAAAAAGAGAAAAAATGATAAGAAAAAGTCGATAAAAACAAAAATAATAATAGCCTTTGGGTAGGAAAAACAAAAAATGAAATTAAGCATTAACCTGCGGGATATTTTTCAATTTAATTCTAATCTCTTTTGTGTTTTAGCTAGCTTCTATTTGAAGAAAACATTTATAAATTTTCACATCAATATTCTCTCTTCAAATATTATTTTAATAATAGCTTTTTTCTTTTTTAATTTTGTTTTTCTTTCTCAGTTATTTATTTATTTTTATTTGTTTCTTCTTTCCGCAATTTTTATTCTACTTTTGTTTTTTAAATTACGTACATTTCTACATATGCAGCTTATGTTTGAAACATATTTGAAAGAAGTAGCATGTTTAAAAAAATGTATTTGAAAATTGTATTTGAAAAAAAATTTGAAAATATAAAATTAAAATATGCAAAAGATATGTTTAAAAGCATTCATATTTGAATATATTGTATATTTGAAAAATTTCTCATTTCTTTTTCATACTAAGCAAGCAAAAAAGCATCCTTAAATATTTAAAAATGTACGAAATTATCAATGATAAATTAAAATACGTTTTTAATTTCAAAATATGTTATTAATTTTAAGTTCATTTAAAACACACTAATAACTTTTATGTAGACTAATAACTTTTTTTGTAGAAAATTTTAGTGACTTACAAAATACAGTAACACATAACCTTATTTTTAGAAATACTCTATTTTAAATTCTGGTTGACGTACGTAAAATTATTCTTATTTATTTGCGCAATGAAATTTCTTTTTACCAGAAACTATGATGTATTGTAACATATTTAGTTATAAGTCA